AAGTCCGCGAACAAAGTCCGGATGTTCTTGATGTGTCACATACAAACATGTGCACCATACAAATATGCAAACCACTTACTTTCCTAATCCATGCGAATACCATGATTTCATAGTATTTAGGATTGCTTTACGCCTCAATCGGGGGAATCTCCAGGTCACTACAAAGTGGGTAACTGTGTAGGCTTCAGAGAAATGTCAATAACGTATGCCAAAAAATAAACTAAGCAAATCATCAAATATGGATAGAAACGTTTCAGTGCACTGGCGTTGCGTTACAGAAATGTATACCCCCTGCCGACTGTCACTATGCGGTAATGGCGGATGTCGAAATACCATGGACGGCTAATGGTAGTGAATTGGTATTATCCGAGGGACAAAGTGGACCCGGTATCAATGACCTAGTGCAGGATTGGTAGCGAATAAAGTCAAGCACCTCTTTGGATGCACTCCCAGCGCTTTTATACACAATTAAGACTTGAAGTTGGGCCGAAGAAGTGCTAATCACTACTGACAGAACTTCGACAATTTTCAGAAATCATTTCAGGGTAAAGAATTCTTTTCGGTAAATCTCATCAGACCCAAACTTTTACATAACAGTGATTGTGGATATAGCGTCAACTGGGGCTGGGATTGACTTCTTGACTGTTTGAATGACCAAAATCGATAACTTGAGACAGAGATAAAGGTGGTAGATCAAGTAAACTAAATAAACATGTGTACACAAGGCTCATTGGTATAAGGTAATTAAGTAGGTAGGATGACAGCCAAATAACTAAGTAACGGTGTCCGTTGGCCAAGGTAGTAATATCGGCCGTATAAATCGTTTTTGGACACATAATTCCGGCTTTAGATGGTGAATGTATATAGCCTCGGCGATGGATAAGAGCTGTTTGCGGAATCCTTGGGAGAAGTGTTCAGGTAATGTGTAAATGACTTTGAAGTCATTTTCTGAAGCTGTATGGCCACATTCAAGGAGGTGCGACATGATAGAGCTGTCTGAAGACCTCATTTCGCCTCTGTAAAACCATGCCGGGATGTGTTCACGGACCCTCTGAGATAGGCGTCTCGTCGTGCGACCCACGTATCGTGCACCACAGGAGCACGAGTACTGATAAATGATCATTGAACGGGTCAACGGCGGTAGTCTATCCTTCAATGCTGCCGACAGAAACATGTAGAAACCCAGGACGGCAAGCTCACAGGACATATAACTTGGGACGCCCCCACCTTGTCGGCCAACGAAGCGGTCACATCTAAACAGTGCGTAGCCAGACAGATGTACTCCACCGTCCGTGATGTCCTGAGGCAGCCACGTTTCAGTGAATGCGAGTGTATCGGGAGAGGCAACTGCAAGCAGACCTATCTGGTACGTTTTATTCCTTATGCTGCGCTCATTGCTGAGCACTAGGTAAACGCCTTTGTAGACCCAACCTGAATCGTGCGTTAACAGTGTAGGCATTGGCATGGCAGAAAGGGATCGCCGGCTGACCACCTAAAACCCACCGACCGCACACCCTTTTCACCAAAACCACGCCCTCGTTTGAGGTTCAATGCGGCCTCCTGTGGCATCAAACTACCCGCCAGCAGCTTCGGCTGAACACTAATATTTGTGCTATTCCGTTTGAAAGCAAACTGCCACGTCTTTTTGCGGTACCCCGTGGAAAATAGCACCACCCAAAACAAACGCTGTCCAAACTTTTGCGCGTAATGTCGGACGGTACACAAGTTAATCAGTTTCCTGACAGTAACATCGGGAAGCACTGGCAAAAGCACTTACGTTAGGCACATTTTAAACCATTGCAGAACGTCCAACAAGCTTTCAGCAGCAAGTACGGCAGTGGGTGACACTGTGTTACGGAGCACCAAGCTGCTGTCCATGCATCAACAAGCGCTTTTGACATTATGGTGGACACCACAGATTGACCAACAAAGTGCATCTGCCAGTTTGGCTTCATCAATCGGACATGGATAGAGACCACAACTGCCTCTATCAACCAGTCTACCTTGAGATCGAGAGTGGCTAACACAGTGGCGACCACCGTTGCTGACTGCACCAAACTTTGTATTCTCAGCCGAGGAAACACGGACGACCCTGTCGGCGTCCACGAAAACTGACGCAGGCAAAACGCAGTGTCACTGGTAAATAGCATGGCGTACGGTTTATCACTCGGATCAGTGCACGGATAATCATACCTTTGGTTTCCGTCGTCCCACTGCATGCAGTCAGGATAGTTAGTCGCCAATAGAGCAAAGCTTGCACTCCCACAAGCGGCAAAAGCCTAAACGCCCGCGTAAGTATATAATAACACATACATTAGAAAGTGGAAATCAGCAGAATTGTAACACGTATACGTAAAACGACTAAGGGATAAAACTAAAATTTGGAGAAACGGTTTAGTAGACAGAAAAAGCAAAAACTTCACCGGCAAGCTTCAAATAAACGCTCGGTGCAGCACCAATATCATTAAAGAAAGTTGCCTTGGAGGACATAGCATTAGACAACATTCAAAAATTGTCTCTCGTTTAATTACACACTGTTTGCCGCAATAATTCTGCTAAAATATCCATTAGTATGGCACGCCAAAAATTACACTTACCGCGTCGAGGCCAGTACGGAAACAAGTTGTCATGGATTCTATTATTGAAAACCGTCAGTGCATGCAATATCACGTACTACATTTCATGGGAGGCATCAAGCTTGGAATGTACGCGGCGGAAATTCACATACTGGTACGGGAATCCCTCCGGCTGCGGAGTCACCAACGAGTACTTAAAAATCGGCATGACGTTCTAATTCATTATTATGCACGGCATCCTCCACATCCTCAGCGCGTTTCTAGCAATCACAAACTATAGGACAAAACACAGCAGCGTCATGCGACATGCCGTGCGTTAACCAAATGAGCCTCATCGCTTTATCGCCATTTCAAACAATGTACAATATGAGTGCAGTGCATGCATATGGCATTCAAGTGCAGTTGATTCCTTTTGAGGTCAGCATTCCATATCAATGTATCTAATTCTTCTTCACCCGATGACCAACATTTTGGCTGGCGTACCCAAACTCAACGTCCCCGTAAGGCTACTTTTCCTTACAACTATTAGCCAATCCCATTATCCAAGAACCAACATTTAGGTGCAAGTATATTTACAATGCTTACAATAAGCAGTTAAAAATTAAGGCATATGCAAGGCAAACTGGACGACGTCAATCCCCAAAGCGGCAAGGCGTTACAGTATAGAACCACAATTCTACCTTCATCGGTTAAACCTGACCGTTGCGGAGCACGGTCCCATAACTAACCTTTAGTTATACGAAGCAAGAGTTAGCGAGCTGTTATTTCTGATGTATACGTTAGACACTAAATACGCTTATCATAGACAAACTTGTAAAGTGGTTTATTGAGGCGCAGGTTGTTAGTTCTAATTATCACGAGCATGCTTTATGCTCGCGCCGTCACAGTTAGACCTTCGAAACGTACTTTTGTCACACGGAAATATTTTTGTCGCGCCCTTTACATATACATTGCGTTCATTTTTCTAGTTTTAATTATGGTAAACGCTAGGTGGAAATCATTCCCAAATTGTAATAACGCAGCTGCAAAGCAAAGCCAAAATTAGTACTGTGTCCGAAATACAAGTTCAAGTTCAATTTGGACTGGAACTGTAGAAAATTCTTGTGGCTGTTTCTTCTTTAATGCGTTGTTGAACCAAGATAGACTTTGCATGATCGATTTAAAACCGAAGAGAGCCAAATAAATACGCACGAATCGCATCGTGGTCAACCCACCAATGTCCACGCGACCTGTACTAGCGGTCGCCGCTGCAATGGCCAAGTGAATAAGTGTAATGGCTATGAGAAGAGACATGACAACACCCGAATAACTATAATGGTAGCACGAGAGAATGTGTAGATAAGGCAGCAATAATAAGTTAATTAAATTGAGATGGAAGCTAAGTACCAAACGGAAAGGTATGAAACTGCAATCCAAGGGCGCAGAGTCGATGTTCAAACACGTTCACCATTGGTGCTACTACGACTTCGCTGGTTAGTGCGTTCCACATGTCGAAGAACCTGCGTGTTAAGCTAAGACCAGCTCTAACGCGATCAGATCTGGACTTATGCAACTTCGTAGGGTGACTTAAAGTGATGACATCTGAGCCGGATGGAACAGGCTGGTTAGATCAGGCCCCATCTTGACGGTCACTCTGCGGTACTTAGGGATCAGGTCTTCCCAAAGCCGCCTGTAGTGCAGCGAAAACAGTTGCAGCCCGAGCGGCCTATTAGGATACGCGAGATGCCTGAAGCATTGCGCCAGTTTGGGACCAATCATCAGAACTCTTTTGACTGCCATCTTGTCGCGGACCAAGCATAGAGGGCAGACCTGTACGCAGTACTCCAATAATGGCATGACAAAAGCTGAGAATAATGTAAGAAACCTTTCCTTTGTTATGATGTCGAACGATCTGCGGATTATCTACGGCATTCGGAAGTTCTTGTGTGTAGCAGTCGTCTAGTTCTCGCTGGAGTTAAAGTCAAAGCATAGCGAAATACCCAAGTCGATTTGTTGAGTCACTTAAGCCACTACATATTTGCCAACTAGGCAACCAGTTGTGGTGGGGCTTGATTCTATACGCAGGACCGAACACTTGCCAAGATTTATTGGCAACTGCCACAAAGCTGATCACTGCAAAAGCTAGTCAAGTGCTATGTGCAAAGTCACGGGACTATTGGAATCGCTTACTGAATTCCAAAATTTTAAGTCATTCGCAAACATTAGGGACGTTAAGCTTTTCAGATTGATCATTAACATACAATGCAAACACTAGAGGTCTGAGACCCGACCTCTGGAGAACTCCAAGTAGGACGGCTTGTCTAAACGGCGGGTCTGTACTGTAGCGATTGTAAATACTGTGCTTACTTTTATTTTCATGCTTACCTAGTTCGCTGCAATTGCTGTACAAGTTCGTTTTAATTAACTATATGGTTGTAAAAATTAGTTTCCAGCTCGTCTTCCGTGGTTCTCCTTTGGTTGCCATTGGCTTGTTGTGATTGTGCGCATCGCTACCTGCTCGATTCACGATCGGAATCTACGCAGACGTACACTCCGGCATACCTCGCGATCTACGGTCGTCTGACACTAAGACGCATCAGGATATTCGATATGTGAGGTAAACTTGACTGACTGGATATTTTCCTTTACCGTTTCATCTATAGTACGCACTCGAACGCTCATCTGCCTACCTTCCATGATAGCCGAAATCTATTTCAATACTTGGCCTAAAATGCCATAGGATTTCAGTTTAAACAAAAGAGGACGGTGCGGGACGGTGTCAAAGGCTTTAGAAAATTCAATGAACAAAACATCCACCGCCTGTCCTAGGCCCATAGCCTCAGCCCAGCCCTCTCGAGCTTCCAGCATGTTAGTCCAACAACTGCCCTCTGCGGAACCCATGTTGAGACGGGCTGAGCAAGATGAACTTAGCCAATTGTTTTTGGAGAGCGTCTCTCACCAAGTTCGTCTTGGTTGTGTCCAAACGGTAAGGACAAACGCATAATAGCGGTCCCTCATAATACACTAGCGGCCATTCAGGCTTGCTGACATTAGGCTTCTATTAGAACTACTGATTTATGGACGATTGTCTATTATTCACGTAGCAATGGAGTTAAAGGTACATAATTATTCGTAACAGCATGGACTGTGGCAAAAGTGTCATGTCTCGGTCAAAAGTCGTCCAGTGCGCCCATTGCGAGAGCCTGACGGATGTAAGGTGCTGTAACATTGGTCATGATCTCTACCAATGCTTTCAATACACTACCACCAAAAGCATAATCTTTCACTGCGACCCATGTCTAGAAGTAGTTAGAGACAAACAATTTCTGGTGTACCTACACCCCTCCAGTGTTCATACTGCTTTTGCTAATGCTCTCTCTAAACCTGTCTGTGAAATACCTGTTTCATCTGTGTGCCTGTTGCGGACAGGTTACTCTACGCCCAAAGGGAAAAGAAGTCGTGCTTCCTCCACTAAGTTGGCAAAAACCCCGTTTTATGTTGCACCTGGTAATTTGGCACAAAATAGAAGCTATATCTCCTCCTGCTCCTGATAGGGTATATTACTAACGCAAAGCAGTGTCTGTAAAGACGAATTGTACGCAACTAAGCTAAAAATAAAGACAAAGACCTAGACGTCCGTGGCGATTATAAACACTGCAGAAATATCAACGATTAGCTAAGTCAAAATACAGCCGAAGAAAAGCGGCTCCAATTGCTAGAACAAAAGCAAACCCAAGGCAACTGCAGGTCATCAATGACAGGTTTAGTACACGTAAAAGACTCATTAAAGAAAAGCTAGTGCTACAAAAGCCAGTTCTTTCACGAGGAACCAAAACACCTTGTGAACGTATCTTAATAATTACCAATGCTTCTGAATTCGACAAAGAGTCACTGACTGAAAGGATTCTTGACGACCAAACCTTTTGAAATGGAGGGTATCTATCCTATTCGATGAAGGCGAACAGGGTACCAACATCGCCTCTGCTTACGTTTAGTTAGGAAGCAAGAGCGTCTCTCTAAGACACACCCGCTAAAATTCGTCTTTCAGGCTGAGGAAGAAGGTCGCCGAATCCTCAGGCCTACCTCGCGTCTCAAAGGAGAAACTTTCTTTATTCTTAAAGTCCTGTACTCAGAAGCTAGAGTCGGAATGAAGCAAACCGTCAACAAGCTGCGAACCCGCCGAGCGAACAGTGAAAGTGATATTAGTATTGTGGATTTGCACGTTGTTCAAAATATTCAGAGCACTCGCTGGAAACCAATCCTCCTGCCACTCAGCCCACCCTAGACAAAGTAGCAGATTGCGAGTGATATTTGCCAATGTACGCAGCCTAAAATAAGCGCGACAAGATACCCCTTCATATTACTGAGCATTATTCAGATTTACTGACTTTCACCGAGACCTGGTTATTTCCAGAAGTTCCAGACGCGGAGATTAGCACATCGACATATCAACTCTTACGGCTTGATCGCTCCAGTAGGCGGAATTAGGATGGAATAATTCTCTACTCCAGGTCCTGTCTCAAGGTACACGTTAGCGAAATACTCTGCGACACTGACGGAGTTTCAGTGATATTGAGGTGCCAAATTCATGACGGCTATCAAATACACACGGTCGGTATGGCTTACAGAGCCCTACTGAGCGCAGGTGTCCGTCTACTACAGTCGCTAACAGCCAATGGTAGAGGCAGCAACCTTCTGCTAATGGGCAACTTAAATGCGCCCAGTTTCGACTAGAAGCATCTCCACTGTGACCTGGACCAATATTCTTTCGAGGCCCGCCTCCTCGTCGCTATTCACGAATGCAATCTGATCCAGCATCTTTCAGTACCAATACGGATGGTGCCGGGTCAAACACCAACATACTACATTTCGTCCCCACATCAGCGCTGTCTGATGTCCATGGCTTGAAGATGCTCCAACCATTCGGCCGGAGTGACCACTGTACACTATTTTTGGGTATGCCGTCTTACCATCCAGGATCAGGGGACACATCGTCGCAACTCCTAGTGTGTTTTCCCATCCAGATTACAAGAAGTGGCAAGCCCCACAAAGTAGACCATCCTACAATCCGTAGGCATTGTCGAGACATGGAAGTTACTACGCTATATGATGATGTCGGTCATCGAGAAAGCTCTTCCTGTCACCAAGAGCGGGCCTTCCCCCGAAGGGCCTCTTGGATCAACCAAGAGGTGAGATCGCTGATGAACAGAGGGCGCAAACTGTGAGACGTATTCAAGTCAACCCATCAGAGTACTTGAAGTACAAGATGATTAAAAATATGTGCACTCTAAAAGCGGCAGTAATCAGCACGTTACGAACACAGCCTGGTCATGCAATCACGAACATGCCCGAAGAAGCTGGTATCGTACCTGAAGCGAAACACCAAGGCCGGCAATGGTATTGCAGCTTTAAGCTGCCAGGAGGAGAATGCAGTGCTTCACGTAGATGAGAATAATGCCCAACTGCTTGCTTCCAAGTACTCCTTGACCTACTGCGTTGAAGCGTCACTGCCCACTGACGGTCTGACAACGCATTACCCTCCTCTCCGGCAAGTCGAAAGCAATCCCGATATAGTCAAGAGACTCCTCCTCGAACTAAACCCTAACTCCGCACCGGGTCTCGATGCACATCACCCGTTATTTCTCAAGATGGCAGTTGAATATATTGCCGATTCAATACATCACTCGGAATACTGGTAGCTCGGGTTGATGATTCAATTGTTTTCTTGTTCGCCGCGCTTGGCGGTTTTGTTGCAAACCTTTCACTATCGTGCGTGGTAGCATCCTCATTGCAGTGAGATTCGGCGTGCAATCTTATAGTAAGGTTGCAAGACGCATCTCACTGCACTGATGATGCTACCACGTATGGTAGTAGTTTGTAATGAAACCACCAGGCTCGGCGAACAAATGTACAGTTGAAGCAATACATCACGTTTTCCGGTGCTCTTCTGCAGACGGGCGCCTACCACCTGACTGGAAAGTGGAGATTGTAATGTTCAACTAAAAAGAAGGGAATCGGCATGATGCTGCAAACTATTGACTGAAATGCCTGACGTTTGTAATCTGTTAGACAATGAAACGGATCGTCTAGCGTGCCCTCCACACACTCTGCGAAAGCCTGCGCGCCATCTCCCCACTCAGTACGGGTTTCGCAGAGCTTGCTCTTGCATCTCTAACCTGCTTGCTGCCAGAGAAGCATGGATCAAAGCAGTAGACGGCCGAAGACAGCTAGGTGTTATCTACATTGACTTTAACAAAGCGTTTGACAACGTCCAACACAAACGACTTCTGTTTAAACTCTATGGAATTGGTTTCGCTGGATAAGTCCTTGCATGATTTGCGGACTTCTTGTGAGATCGAACTCTTCAAGTGAAAGTGAAGCAAACGCTGCCTGGCTCTGTGTCTTTGACTAGCAAAGTCCCACGATACTCTGTCCTTGGGTCGGAACTTTTCAAGCTCTACATCAATAACCTCCCTGCAGCTCTTCAAACCGACTGCTTAGTCTATGCAGATGATCACAAGCTATGATCAGTAGACAGCTTTGAGGACACAAGCAGACTTCAAACGGTGCTAGCCCAGCCACATCATTGGTCTATCAAGTGGAAACTACACGTAAACGGCGAGAACTGTGCTATTCTCCCGATTGGTAGCATGGATTCGTTTGGTGAATACAATATTGACAATATCGTCTCATGAATGTCACGCTCGAGAAGGCTCTGGTGATTGTCGTGTCACATGACCCTAGAACATCCCAAGACACCCTGAGAAAGGTCGCGGCCGCAAACAGGGTGTTAGGTGCACTACATAGATTTTTATGCCGTATCACTCTTGCAAATTGCAGAAGTCAATTTCCATCACATTTTGCCCGATACTGGAGTATTGGCTTTCAGCTAACTATTCTCTCTTGAAATCTGAGTGTAACTTGCTAGAAAGAGTTCAGAGTTCATGCGGCTTTGCGACCTTACTTACCCTCTTCGACTCCGAAAGCTGAAATTATTCCCCATGGATTATCCTTGGCGCAGTGGAGATCTTACCTACATCCGACGGGTCCCAAGTGTCGAACTTAGGATTGAAGTACAGTACTTTCACCTCAACGTAGGCAGATGAACACGAGACCACAAGTGGAAGTTGGACGAGAACCGAATACTTCACGTTCATCCAGAGGCTGATTTTTCAATTCGTTTAGTGAATGAATGCAGCAACCCACCGGACGTCATTGCTGAGGCACTGACAGAGCGCCACTGATCGCCCGCTCCGGGCTGTCCTTTGGATCCACCCTCTCGCTCAGAAGTCGAACGTGAGATCGGACTGTTGAAGTTGAACAAAGCCGCGGGACCAGATGATCTACCTCCAGCCCTCTTCAAATTCGGGGGACCTGCTCTTGTGGATGATTTATACGAGTTACTAGTGAAACTGTGGGAGCAGGAAACTGTCCCAACCGACTGGAGCCGCTCCGTCATAGTCCCAATTTTCAAGGGAGGCTCACGATCGGAATGCGGCAACCATAGAGGAATCAGTCTGATCTCCATCGCCTCCAAATTGCTTGCCTCTGTCATCCTTCACAGACTGACTGGCACTCGTGAAAGCCATATTCGTGAAGAGCAAGCCGGGTTTCGTC